GCCAGCTGTATCCTCAGCAAAGATTTCGTCCACATTCTCCAGAAGAAAGGTCAGCAGCACGTTGACCTGCACACAGCAAAGCCTTGCTCTCAGCCCAGGGGCCTGACAGCGTGCCAAGCAGCCATGGCCATCACTGCTGAGCCTTTTACTCTGCACACAGAGCAGTGGCTGTGGGGCAGCTCTTGCAGGGAGCACCCCACAGCAGCYTTGGCTGCACAGAAGGGGCTGCCAGGCACAGGCAGCTGTGGGCAGCCAAGCCTTCATGGAGGCTGCAGCCGGCTGCTGWAGGCAGAGTTACCTTCTGGTTCTTGGCTAGCAGGGCCTGGAGCTCCAGCTGCTCCTCCTGGGGTGGGCTCAGCAGCGTTGTCCCCAGGCAGATGGCCAGGTTGCTGATGGTCGTTTTTGTGCTGGACACATTCTTGCTGATGTCTTTCAGCACTGACAGCAGCTGCCTGAGGAGGAGCACATTTGCCGCAGACAACTTCTTGGCCACCCTGAGRGAACAGAAAGGCAGYGTCCATCAGCAGGCCCGTGTTGCCCATGGCCGCCCCCAGAGCTGGCCCCAGGCAGGRGCAGCCRGYRCCGCAGCTGCGCAGCHTTGCGGGCRCTCTCARCCGGCCAAGGTYGGGGCTCCCGCGCTCCCRCAGGAAGGATGYGGGGCATTGCTGGCCAGCTCCTGATTTCCCCCAGGACCACACAAGAGAAGGCATTGCCTGTGCACTGCCCCAAAATCGGGTTGCCAGCCAAAAAGAGTGAACTGCCCAAAATCACAGCGTTTTTGGATGCGCATCCCCTTGCAGGTGAGTGCAAGCTTCCAGCAGTGCCCACTGTAGAGCTGGAAGCTGCTGCCCACACTTACGCTTGCAGCTGACGGATCTTGGTTTCCATACTGGCAGTCTGAATTGCAGCCATCCAGTCCTCGTAGAGGTCACAGATGAGGAACTTGGAGGGGATGCTTCTTAGGAAGTCCTGCAATGACAAGGGCTGACAATGACTGTTGGAGCATGGTGGCTCTGGCAGGAACCTTTGCAGCTGCAGGGCAGAAGGGCTGACCTTGAGAATGATGGCCAGCAGCAGCACGGGCTGGCYGGCCATGTCCACAGGCTGGCCATGGTCCAGGGCCTGCCGCAGCTCTTGAAGAGCTTTGGTGTTTCCGGCTCTTCTGAAAACGCCCTTGGTGCTGGGCCCTTGCTGCTTCAG